TTTCATTTGCTTTTAGGCAGTGTTAATCCTTTAGTTTCAACATTGATCATAGGTTCTTCTTGAGAATCATGATGTAGAGAGAAGATTATTTGATTTCTGTGACTTTTAGGCAGTGTTAATCCTTTACCTCCTGCAGCATTGCGTTGTTTTTTACAGGAAATATTTACGGATGAATGCATCACGAAAACTAAACAACTATTTGGATATACGGATGAACATTATTTACAAATGATTGTATTTTGTTGAGTCAAGAATTTCAAGTTTTGTAATGAGTTCTGAGTATATGGGTTTAGAAACCCAACACGTATGCAATTACTTTTCCATTCAATCTTGCTAATACACCATATTAACCTTCAACTTTGTATATTAGTTGACTTGCAAAATAACCACACAAACTCACGATTCAAGCCTAAACTAATGTTTTAGAATTGTGATTCACCCGCGCTGCAGAAAACATAAGTTTTCTATTGCAATACATCTGCTTGTGGTTTAATTAATTATTACCATTGAACATAAGTCAAAAGGTTAGTTGTCACTATGCCATGGAGATTTYTGTTATTCATTTAGCTTCTTGATGTTGAATGAACAGTAGGTTGGTTCTATGTTTATTCACAAGTCATTTCATCACTTTTTTCTTCATTAGTTTTGTAGTTGTGTTGTATTTTTCTATGTAGATAAGCAATCAATATTTAAATAGAATCTGTTTTTCTTATGGTTGAGTTCGCTTCACTACAGTAAACAAATGTTGAGTAATGGAAGTAGTTAAAATTTGATATTTCTCAAATCTAAGAGTAGTTAATTTCTTTGTTTCATTTTCAAAGCTTTTAATGTATGGGGTGGGGTGCTTGTGATAAGCACGTTCAAAGTTATTTGGTTGACTGAAAATTGGAGTATTTCATTATTTTTTGACCTGCATATTATGTAGTTTTTGCTTGACCAATCTTGAACTTAGGAGTTGTTTACTAAATGTTTACCCGGTAAGTGYTTAYGTAGTCATTTATCTTACARGATGAATATGGCAAGGGTCAAGAATCTTACCTTATAAGAGCGGTGATAAGGATGAGAGTCTTACCCGCTAAGTAAGGCTGACGACTCTTACCTGATAAGTTCTTACCAGGTAAATCATCCCATATAATACTGTTTTGATGGACTATAGTCTTACTCGGTTAAATAAATTAGAGTATTGATTCTTACCAGTAAGTAATTACCGGGTAAGCGTTTGGGTAAACGGACCTTTAGTTGCATTTACGACAAGCTGGTTGCATCCCTCCTGCGAGTGGTGGTGTATCCTCCAAAAAAAGAGTTAGCAAGAGTGACTTGATTTTCTTGTGAAAATTTGGGTCTGTCTGTTTGCTTGTTTGGTTTCCTTTGTTTGATGTTCTTGGCTCAAGTGTGTGCATTGTTTTGCTTTTTCATTATGCTTTTGAGATTATTTAACATAATTGAGTTTTTTGGGTTATTGTGATTTTTGTTCAAAGCATGATGCTGGTTGATGTTTTATTGTTGATTGATTTTCTATTGTCTCTACTCCCTGTTAAACTATAAATTATTCTTTTGATTTCATATCTTTACAGAGAATGTGTACTCTATGTTAAGATCGGAAAATGAAGCCAATGATGCATTTCGGACCCAAACGTAAACAGTAGCGACAATTTCTTTGACTTATAGAAACACATTACAAATTCAAGGACGATTTTTGAATTTTCAAAGTATAACGACATAAACTAAACACGAAGTTTATTATTTAAAGTTTGTTGAGATATTATATGTATTAAATATTAATATTATAATGATATAATTAATATCACAATATTCATACCTTTTTCTTCTCTCTTTCCAACTCTCTCTTTCTCTCTATATAAGGAATTGCTATGCACACTTTCACATATACCACCTCATTTCTTATTCATATATATATATATATATATATATATATATATATATATATACATATATATATATATATATCTATATATATATAGGTTTGTATTTTGTGGGTGTGTAAGGATTAGTGATGGGTGGTGGGATTGGAAGAGGGTGGTGTGCAATTGTGATATTGAGTGCACTTGTGTTAGCAACAAGATGTGATAACAAGTGTGATTTATACCAAGGGAGTTGGGTGTACGATGAGTCGTATCCTATGTACGATTCAACGAAATGCCCGCATATCCGAAAGGAATACGATTGCATCAAGTACGGTCGCCCCGATCGCACCTACCTCAAATTCAGATGGCAACCCGCCAATTGCCCCTTGCCCAGGTATCATCTAGAAAAAAATAGAGGTAACAGTAGAAGAACATAAGAACATCTATATTATATATGATTTTATATTAAACATCACAAACGATCAACCTACGTGCACAAGCTTGGCCCAATGACCTTGGAGGTTTAACTGTTCAATAATCACATATGATATCAGTGTTATCGTGTTCTTTTATGTTGACCCCATTAATGTTTGAGCCTCCGTGTGTGTGTGTGTGTCTCTCTCTCTCTCTCTCTCTCTCTCTCTCTCTCTCTATATATATATATATTGATATTGAATTTGTGATTTCATGTTTATTTTGTGGACACACTTCAACTAAATCGGGTTTATAGGACACTCTCAATTTCTAAGTGTCATAATAGACCTTTTTATAAGACTTAGTTTAGAAGACCAAAAAAATAAAGTGTCATATCTAAAAGTGTTGTAATAAGTTTATATGACGTTTCTTAATGCCGTAATAAGTTTTTTAGAACACTTTTAATATAAAGCGTCTCATTAGCAACTTTATATGATACTATTTGAAAAAATGTCCTATAAAAAACAAGTGTCCTATAAAAGCTTGAGTTTATAGGACACTTCCTCAAAAGTGTCTTATAAAGTTGCTAATGCGACACTTTGTATTAAAAATGTCTTAAAAAACTTGGTAAGACGTCCAAAAAGGTCATATAAACTTATTACAACACGCTTTATATTTTAGTCTTATAAATTAAGTCCTATAAAACGGTCTATTGTGACGCTTAGAGATTGAGGGTGTTCTATAAATCCAATTTTGTTGTAGTGTCTTTTATGTTGACCCCATTAATCCGAGCTTGATGAATCTCCTTCTAATTTGCATGATAGATTCGATGCCGAAGCATTCTTAAGAAAAATGAGGGGAAAAAAGATACTGTACGTTGGCGATTCACTAAGCTTAAATCAGTGGCAATCGATGGTTTGCCTTCTTCATTCTGCCTTGCCACCTCAATCCATCATCACTGAAGAAACTGTCAACTCAGTTAGAACCGTCTCGTATCAGGTTGTCGGTTGTTATTAAGCATTATTTTCGATTCTGTTTAATACGTTATCAAAAAGTAGTATTTATAGGTCATGTTACGACGTGCATTTGTAGGATTACGGGTTTTCGGTTTCGATTTTCACGTCTCATTACTTGGTAGACGTTGTCGAGGAGAAAATTGGACGGGTTTTGAAACTTGATTCCATTACAGACGGGGATATATGGAAGGATAACGACGTTTTGATCTTTAATACCTGGCTTTGGTGGTATACTCGAGGAGAAAAACAATCGTAAGTATGCTTTTTTTATTTTATTTAAGTGATTATAGTCGTATGACGATAGTTTAAAAGTCGTATGGTCTGATGTCGGGCAGATGGGATTATATCCAAATCGGTAACAAAATACTAAAGGACATGGATAGGATGGTTGCTTTTCGTGAGGCTTTGACGACGTGGGGGAATTGGGTCGATTCAGATGTCGACACACAAAAAACATCTGTATTTTTCCAAGGAGTTTCGCCTGCTCATTACAAGTAACTGTTTCTTTACTGAACTATCGAATATTTTTTGCAAAATAAAGGATTAAAAGTCAAAAAAAAATTAAATAGAAAATCGCATTCAGTACTTTCTTGATTCTGCATATTATGTAATTTATTACAGTATCAAAATATTCAATACATTTAATGCTCGAACAACTGTTTATAAAATGATAAAACAATTGATGCGATTTTTTTTGGTTGAGAATCAAACGAAGTAAAAAGAATCAACTTTCGGAGATTTATTTGTAGTACGCAACTCTCGATAACATTAAAATAGAACGAGAACTCTTTAAATGTCGAGTCGTTTGAATACTGATTTTTCAAAAGGAAATTTGTTCAGCGGAGCAGATTGGGACGAGAAGGGGGTGACGAATTGTGCAAATGAAAAGCTTCCGGTGAACGGATCGACATATCCGGGTGGCATACCGACGGCGGAGACGGTGGTGGAGCAGGTGATAAATGGTGTTAGAAAACCAGTGTCGTTACTCAACATAACGAGGTTGTCTCAGTTGAGAAAAGATGGACATCCGAGCCGTTTCAATGCCTTTAAAGGAATGGATTGCACACATTGGTGTGTAGCTGGGGTTCCAGACACATGGAACCAACTTCTATCTGCTTCTCTTATTTGAAACCCGTTTTTGAATGTTTTGTATATCAAATTTCTGATATTTTTAGAGGAAAAATAAAATATAATTTATAGATCGAAAATAAAACTTATATATAATTGGTTATGCAATTGTTGAATCATCGAACATAACCTTTTTTTGGTAACCGTGGGTTTTTGTGTTAGTTTAAACGTACCGATTAATCCCTCGAGAGACTATGAATGGTCTGAAGTCATCGTAGGTGAACTTTCATTGTCGCAAGAGGTTTGGCTCGAACCCAGCGTAATGATATTTTCCACACTACAACAAAATTGGGTTTATAGGACGCATCCAATCTCTAAGCGTCACAATAGACCGCTTTATAGGACGCCCCTAATCTCTAAGCGTCACAATAGACCGTTTTATAGAACTTAATATGACCAAAATACAAAGTGTCCTATCTAAAGGCGTTGTAATAAGTTTATATGACGTTGTTGGACGTCTTAACAAGTTTTTATAACATTTTTTAAACAAAGCATCACATTAGCAACTTTATAGGACACTTTTGAGAAAGTGTCCTATAAACTCATTTTTTATAGGACACTTGTTTTTATAGGACAATATTTCAAATAATGTTCTATAAAGTTGCTAATGAGACACTTTATATTAAAAGTATCCTAAAAAACTTATTACGACGTCAAAAAACGTTATATAAACTTATTACAACGTCTTTAGATAGGACACTTTATTTTTTGCGCCTATAAACTAAATCCTATAAAGAGGTCTATTAGGACGCTTAGAAATTGGGAGAGTCCTATAAACCTGATTTTGTTGTAGTGAACAAGACATTCTGTAGAGGGTCAAAAAAGGGTGGGAAGACAAATCTTCATATTGATTTCGATAAAAGATTCCGAGACAGCTGATCAAGAATGTCAAGAAAACTCTAAAAGGTTAGAGCAAAGGGAAATTTGTTGTTGTAGATGAGGAGATTCCAACCGAAGATGGTTCTTTCGCGGTTGGCATAAGAAGGAGAAAATTCTTGGTACCTCAGACACCAGGGTCGTAACCACAAGGTGTAAACTCGTTTCTCTAAAGGGGCTCGTCTTATTTTGGAGACTTAGCCAGAGTAAAATCCCAGTTCGGAAGTACCTTAACTATCTTGGCTTTGATCTCCATGTGGTGTTATGTCCAAGATGCGGATCGGACGTTGAATCTTTTGGATCATTGTTTCGCAACATGTTCTAATCTTTTGCAAGTATAGGAAAGCTTTTGGAGATGGTGCAGAATGTCTTTGTCGTCCTCATTTACGCTCAACGACATTCTGGAAATCCATAATCAGGTAACCTCATCTTTGTTAGGTTGAGTGCCACAATCTACAATCTAGACTACTCTTTACATTATTCGGAGAAATTGAAACGAACTGGTTTTCTCTGTTGATAACCTACATCATAATCATTCGGACATAGTTTTCTATACCAACTACATGCGGTCGTCTTTTTGGGCTTTGTCATGATCAAAACGTCTAAATATCTCATGGACTTCATGGCTTTTGGGGAATTTCGGTTATAATGGTTATGGATGGATCTTCTCTGAGGTCGTGAGCTGTATCACCACTCGGTTTTGTCTCATTTTTTTTCTTTAGTTGGTTTTGTCTGTCTTATTTGATTTATACACCTTATAGAATCTAAGGGGCCGTTTACCAAACGCTTATTCGGGTAAACATTTACTAAGTAACATTACTTCACCGAATGAATATGGTAAAGATCAAGAGTCTTATCCGGTAAGTGAGGGCAATGCCTCTTACCACAATAAGGTAAACTATTGTATACAATATCGTTTTGGTGGACTCAAATCTTACCCGATAAGTAAATAATAGTGTTAAATTATCGGTAAACATTTATCGAGTAAGTATTTGGTAAACGACCCTAAGTCTTGTGATCGACGCTTGAATATTTCTTCAGGATCTAATAAAATTTATTTGCCCTAAATAATTAAAATTCTAGTCTAATCAATTCTTTATACAAATTAATTAATTTCAACGGTGATTTAAGAGGAAAAAACTAATGTGGTGAGAAAATATTTTAATTCACTTTTTTTTATATCGATTAATTTATATTCTTTAACACTTAGGTGACGTTTGTTTTTTAAGAGGTTCTAAAGTCTGAAGTCTGATTTCACTTCTGAATTTTAAGAGGTGGTACTGGAATCTGAAATCTGAATCAGTCATACTGTTTGTTTTTACGTCTGAAATATGAAATCTGAATCAGTCAAGTTTTGGATCTGATAGATTTGGATCGGGATCTGATAGATTTGGATCGATCTGGGTCATGATTTTACGAGAATATGTGGATCGATCTGGGTCGTGATTGATTTGGAGATCGAATGTCTTGCAAGATAGATTTGGAGATCGAATGTCTTGCGAGATAGATTTGGAGGACTAAATCTGGAGGTGAGGATGGATGGGAGAGTCTGGAGGCAGCGATTAAGAGGATTTAAGTGATTATGTTATCACTTTTTTTTCCAGAGCAAATTAAGAGTTTTTCAGCTCTTATTTATATATAAAAAATAAACGGTCTGAAAATAAAAATGTCTGACCGATTTAGACTTAAAAGACATTAAGTGGTTTTTTTCAAAAAAACAAAGAAGCGCTTAAACATATTTCCCGATCAAATGTGATGACATATGTCTCTATTTATTTCTTTAAACCAGCACTGTGTGCATGTGATAAAGTAAAATGTAATTGTAGTAAATTAAAAATGAAAAATTAATAAAAAATTATATTAAAAAAAATCTGAAAATCATTTTTGAGAAAAAAAATTACAATTATTTGAACATGTTTTATTATTTTAAATTACTTGTAAACAAAAACCCAAGATAAATATATTGACACGTATATCCAATTTTATAATTTTATGTATGTTTGTTTAATTTATTATAATTAAAGTATTTTAGATTTTGTAAAAAAAAAAAGATACATGGGCTAGTTAATAGTTGTTTAATGATTTGATGCAGAATGATTAAAAGATTTTTATAATATAATGCAAAATTAAATATAATTGTTTGGTAATTATTTATAATGAAATCATGGCACTGAATGGTTAAGAAGGCTCATGATATAAAATCATTCAAGGAGTTTTATAATCATTAAGAAACATATTTTTTTTTGCCAAACAAGATTCACCTCTTAACGATTCAAATGTTACCTCTTAATAAAACTATTAAGAAGTAAACAAACAAGATCGTTAATTTAATTTAATTTTATTGATGTACAATTTTGAATAAAGATAAAGCATTCAATTCCTATGGATGTGATTACCCTTTATTTGAACTTTGCTTATTTGTTAGTTTTACCGATTCTAGAAATTCTATGTGTACTGCAATAATTTGTAATATTTATTATTATATTTTTTTTAATATTTTTGTCAAATTATATTTTTTTTCGTGAGACCCATAAGATCAATTTATATTTATTGATCAACTTTATAAGTTAATGATCTAACGGTCTAAATTGCACGGTGGCAATTTGGTAATTATTAAGAAATCTCGTGACGTTTATTAATATTTAGATTGTCAGATTATAAATCTAATTTAAGGGTTGAGAATTGATCTTACGAGTCTCACGAAAAACCATTGGTCTCACCTGATCTCAAGTGTGTATATATATATATATCCTCTGTTGGCACCATCAGTTTTCTTTCAATTCATTTTCAACCTATTTGATTAATCTTTCACGTTACATTGATCAAATTTTGCAAAAAACACCATTTATTTGGATGCCTCACCCACAATGAATTCCTTGATTTCCAGCGAATTGCTTGCAATCCCACTTCTATCAATCAAAATAACAGGCAGCGCCAGTAACAGCAGTGACGCCGGCAGTAACGACGATGAGATCCCGGCGCCGGCAGCACCCCAACCTTTCGTCCACTATGGGATTCCCAAAACACCCTCATCCTTCGCCTACCACCACCCACTATCCACCGTCACCGGCCACACAGAATCCGTTTCTTGCCTTGCGTTATGTGGAGAATTCATCCTCAGTGCATCTCATGCTAAAGAAATCATGGTTTGGCAACAACCCGATCTCCGTCTGTTCACCAAGTTCGGCCATGGACGTGGCTCCGTCAAGGCCATCGTTACCGTCGGAAGCAAAATCTTTACAGCCCATCAAGATTCCAAGATTAGGGTTTGGAAGGTTTCAAGAAGCCTTGAAAACATCTTCAAACTCGTTGAAACTCTTCCAACCACAAAAGATTATCTTGGTAAGTTCATGAACCACACTAACTACATCCAAACACGACGCCATCACCGACGTTTATGGATCGAACACACCGACACCATTTCATGTTTATCGATTCATAACGACCTAATCTACTCTGGTTCTTGGGATAGAACCATAAAGATCTGGAGACTATCAGACTACAAATGTTTAGAATCGATCAAAGCCCACGACGACGCCATTAACGCTTTGACAACCAGCAAAGGAACCGTCCTCTCCGCCTCTGCAGATGGCAAGATCAAGGCATGGGAGAGACGACAACGACGACCAGAAGGTTCACATGTCTTAAAGTTCATTCTTGAAGGACACAAAGACATATCCGTAAACTCAGTGGTGGTTTCCGGCGACGGCACGGTGGTTTACGGTTGTGGGTCGGATGGTTATGTGATGGGGTGGTCATCGGATGATAATTGGAAGAAGGTGTTTGAAGTGCAAGCACATAAAATGGCGGTTTTGTGCATGTGTATGAAAGGGGAGATTCTGTGCACAGGTTCAACCGATCACAGTATTGGAGTATGGAAGAAGGAAGTCAAAGGGTTGACTAAAATTGGTGTGATGTTGGGTCATGAAGGACCAATCAAATGTTTACAAGTGTCACCAAGTAGTATTGGTGGTGGGTTTTTGGTGTATAGTGGCAGTCTTGATAAGAGTATTAGGGTTTGGTGGGTTCCACAGTATTCTGGTAGGACAAAAGTAGAGGATTTTAACTCTCCAGTTAAAATCACAAAGGCAATCACTACTCCCATTTTATTCTAGTTAAAATCCGGTTCGATCGTTAATTTATAGCTATCATCAATGTTATCATTGTAATTGATTTGAAGTGTTCGGTTTAAAACAATCGAGTAAGCGCTTAAAGATGAATTCGACTCTATTACTTGCTTATTGGGTAAGATTTTAGTCTATCAAAACAACATCGTATGTAACAATTTACCCGGTAAGCGCTAACCGTGATAAGAGTCTTCGCCATCACTTACCGGACAAGACTTTCGGTCGCTCTTACCAGGTAATATTCTTGGTCCTTATTATATTAATTCGATAAAAAAAATTGATTTAGTAAGCACTTATCCAAATAAGCATTTGATAAACGGGTCAAATTTAAGATGACATGTGAAGTTGAGTCCATATATCATATCAAACTCGATGTATGTTTATATTGACACATAGTTTGAATAATAAACTACATCAAATTCCCACTTAAACTTTATAATGAATAGTTTTCTTGAATTAGGATAAGTTATCATAAATATTTTATAGTTATATATGGGGTGGCTAATGGCACCCCTATCATGTGCTAATGCCACCCTTAAGTAGTCTTTAATCATTGTGTTTTATAATTTTTTGTGTTTTTTTGTGATTATTACTTTTTATTTTATTATTAATTAAAGAAAATTTTAATTAATATATATTATTTATTTTATTTTCTGTTTTATTTATTTATTTATATTACATTTTAATTAATATAAATTATTAATAAATAT